GATGCAAATCAAAACAACTATGAGATATCATCTCACCCCAGTAAGAATAGCAAAATTTAACAGAACAGCAAACATCAAATGCTGGCGAGGTTGTGCAGAAACTGGAACCTTATTCACTGCTGGTGGGAGTGTAAAAATGGCACTTTCTCAAAAAGTTGGAAATAGAAATACCGTTTGATCCCGCAATTCCACTACTGGGAATATATCTCAAAAAAACCAGAACTGCCACCCAAGCAGATATATGTTCACTCATGTTTATTGGCAACTTTGTTCAAATAGCAAAGAGATGGAAACAACCCAAGTGCCCATTAACAAACAAATGGACAGAGAAGCTGTGGTATATTCACACAATGGAATACTACTCTACATTGAAAAATGAGGAACTCATGAAATATTATACAAAATGGATGACCCTGGAGGACATTATGCTGAATGAAGTATCTCAGTCACAAAAGGACAAATACTGCATGTTGCCACTGTTGTAAAGCAGGACTGATATTGGAGTTGTGGGAAAACTAAGAGGGGATAAAAAATGTATACTGCATTGAAATAGATGAGGGAGAGAACTGTTTAGGAGAAATATATCATTAGGTATTATTGTTATGCCAAGAGTCCAGAATGAAAGCTGCATAAAGGAGGGGACTGGGGGGTGAGATTGTATAACAATGAATTTTTTATTTTTTTTTTTTACTTTTCAAAGAGAACAGTGAAGCGATGGGAGGGATGGGATGGGCAGAGAGGAAAGTGTGCAACAGTGAATGAATGGAAATCCAAAGTCTCTGTAAACTTTCATTAAAATAAATTTAAAAAAATTTATAGGAGTCACATACACAGCCACAAAAAGTTATGGCATGGGGGCAGGGGTTTGTGCGGGGAGAAGGGTGCAACAATGAATGAATGGAATTCCAAAATCTCTGTAGATGTTCATTGAAATGAAAAATAAACAAACTAAATTTTTTTTAAAAAAGTTATGGCATAAGTCCAATACTACAGAAAGCCAGGAGGTTATTGAAAAGGCCACAGCCTTAGTCCTCAAATGGACATCGTTGTTTTTCAGTAATAATTTGGAATGATCCCTGATTTGCAGTTTCTCAGTACAAAATATCTCCTGATCTGACTGCTGATACCACGTGGACCTGTTGTGAATCCAAGTAAGATGAGGTGGTTGATAGACTCTTCTCCATCCAGAAGTGAGAATTTTTGTTTTCTTGATGTAAAGATGCAATCCACATTGAAGACTACAGTGTTTAACCTTTTACAGCAAGTGCTTAACCTCCTCACTTTTGGTTGTATCATCAATAACAAAGGTTATTGATGAGTCTTCCTCCAGTTGTCATGCCACATTCTTCTTCTTCATAGAGTTCAGCTTCTTAAATAAAGGTCTTTCTGGTCACTTGCTATGCATCTGTGTCAAATGTGATAATGGTTACCTATGGTGGACAGTGTGTGGTGTACCTCCCCAATTAAAACAAGTTTGGAAGCAGGAGCGGCATCCACTTCAGAAATAGCTTGCCTCCAGAAACTCTATGAACATGGCGAAACGATGAAAGTTACACAAGTGTTCAGGTCTTTCATTCATAGGGTCGCTATGAGTCCTCTACAGCTTGGTAGCATTTTACAACAACAACATGCATCTGCGAGCTGGACAATGAATAAGGATAACGAAAGAATTGAGGCCATGAATTGTGGTGCTAGAGAAGAGTGCTGAATATCCCATAGACTGAAAAGAAGAAACAAAAAACCACAACAAACCAAAAACAAAGAGCTATGTCTTGGAGAAAGTGCAGTCAGAGTGCTCCTTGGAGGCAAGGATGGTGAAGCTTTAGCTCACATAATGTTGCAGACCGAGGGTAAAGAATATTAATAAGTATTAATAACGAGACAGAATACCAAGAATGGATAAGTAAACAGACGTAAAGTGGGGGGGCAGCAGTTTGAACAACTGAAGCACTGGTCCCAGCTTCCCTGTGTCTATTGAAAATTGCCAGGGAGCGAATCACAAAGAGAATTCTATGCAAATGAAGCTCAGCTCTTTCTATTGAAAACCTTAAGCTTGACTCAGGAGGGAGGGGTTAGCAAATACAAGTGCCTCTCTCTGTGAACATTTAAGGTCGGCCTTCGTGCTTCAGGGTGAATTCCAGCTTGTATCCGCACCTCCCTCATATCCTGATAGAGCATTTGGTTTATTACAAATAGTATGAAATCTGCCTTCCACAACATACGTTGGGCATGTTGCCAGAAGTTATTCCTTGGAAGAGGGACATCATGCTTGAAAAGGTGGACGGTCAGTGAAAGGAAGCCCCTCACCCAGGTGGACTGACCCGGCAACGATGCGCTCGGGGTATCAGAGATTGTGAGGTCGGCACAGGTAGGACAGGGTTCAGGTCTGTTCACAGGGTCGCAGTGAAAAGTACTGGACCAGGGACCTAAAAACACAACAGAGAAAGGTGAGGAAAGGTTTACACACAGAATTAGGAGTACTAGGGATGGGAAGAGACAAAGAGGGGAATAAAAGTGAATCAACAGATAAATTAGGTGCAGGGAAAGGTGATGTATAATAAGGGATTGAATAGTATTGCAGCTGATTTATATAATCGATGAAAGATATTTGAATCCCCAATCTTCAAAGAAAAAGAATGAATTCTCAAAAATAAATAAACGTAGAGAGGAATGGCCAAGGAGAATGAAATGAAAAGGGGGAAGCCAGAGGTCGCTGTCCAACAGCGTCCGGCAGGAAATGACCAAGCCTGACCCGCTCTCCCTGCTTCTGTCTACATAAGGGTCCGCGGGGCCGGCCTGGGAGGTGTGCGCATGCGTGGGTCCTCCAGCCGCAGCGCTCCGCGGGGCCGGCTTGGGACGTGTGCGCATGCGTGGGTCCTCCAGCCGCTCGGCCCCGAGCCAGGGTGGCAGCCTCTCTAGCCCGCGCGTCGCCGCCTCTCTAGCCCACGCGTCGCCACCGCCCGCGTTTTTATGCTGGTTACGCACGCGCCGGCGGGGGGGCGGTGGCAAGATGGCGGCGCCCATGGAGGTGGCCGTGTGTACGGACTCTGCGGGCCCGGTGTGGAGCTGTGTGGTCTGGGAACTGCATTCGGGCGCCAACCTGCTCACGTACCGCGGCGGTCAGGCCGGGCCCCGCGGCCTGGCGCTGCTCAATGGCGAGTACCTGCTGGCGGCGCAGCTGGGAAAGAACTACATCAGCGCCTGGGAGCTGCAGCGCAAGGTTAGGGGGAGCACGCCCAGGGCCTGGCTCTGTCGGGGGAGAGCGCGCACCCGCCCTGGGATGGACAGCCGGGTCGGTGGGCCAGCGGGCGCCTGAACCGGAGCGTTGGTGGGGAAAGCCTGGTCGCGGTGCAGGACGCATGCGCGGGCCTGGGGGCTGCAGGGTGATTTTTTTGATGGGCTTTTTTCCCCTGCTGGGGGCGGGGAGAGATACCCCCCATAATTCGGGGGCCTGGAGGGTGGGCTCTCGCGGTGGGTCCTCCGAGTCAGTGGGCACGCAGAGAAGTGGCATGCGCGTTGGGCAGGATCAGGGGCCTCCTTGTTTATGGCACCAGTGGTCCCACGTGGCGCCCTGCACGGTGGTTACCACCCCCGAGGTCCTGCACCCTGGTTACCAGCCCCGAGGCCCACACCCACTGCCCTGCACACTGGTCACCATCCCCCCCAGGTCTTGCACCCCGGTTAGCAGCCCCCCAGGTCCTGCACCCCGGTTACCAGCCCCCCAGGTCTTGCACCCCGGTTACCAGCCCCCCAGGTCCTGCACCCCGGTTACCAGCCCCCCC